GATTCATCTCATCCTTAAATGTTGTTTATATGAATCTGATGTGGATTTCCTTGTTGTTGATATGTTTGATGATGAAGAAATTCGCCGTTGAGACTGACTTGCTTTCAAAGAGTATAATTTTATTTAAGCAAGAAACAGAATCACTGGTCACGTCTGACCAGGAGGATCAAGAAGCCAATAATGATCTCTGTCGAACACACAGAGACAATTGCTTATATGCATCTAAACATCTGTTTTCCCGTCATGGGTCATAAAAACATCAAGTTACACAACCATATATGGCAATACTCCTATACAACACCCCAATTTAAACATTCCAGCTAAGGGGACTCCTAAATCTCCTTCAGATACTATCACCAGACGCACCCATTGTAAACTTATATTATCTCTGTCCTGGTTACATCAGACACTTCAAATCAACTTTTGACTTTTAGCTGCACATTTTAGAGAATGAGCTTCATGTTTTTTTATTTTCTTCTTACATCCAATCCCATTTAAAACAGTTTGTTTTTAAATGTCTGTATTACTGAATAACTTTTAGCATTAAATCACATTGAAACATGTCTAACTGCCTTAACTGAATCTTATTTCATCTAGTTTTATTACATTTTGAACCTCCTGTGTTTCCTTATTTAGAATAAATGATAGCGTTTCCTCAGTACCTGTTCTTATCTAGTTACTTTTACCTTAGTTTTTGGATTGTGGGATAGGGGTGGGGGAGGGAGTGATGTTGTTGCTGTTTGATTAAATGTTGATGCAAAGCATTTTGTGATACATTTGTTGTATGAAAAGTGCTGAACAAATAAAGTTTGATTGATTGGTTGATATTGATCGTCTTCATAGTGATAATGTTATTTTTGTATAAAGGTTTATAATGCATGGAGCTTAACTATTATTTTGTACAGCTCTGCTGTTTTTCAGTGCTGTATACTAAACTGATTTATAATCCAGCTGCACATATCAGTAATCTGTTCAAATCAGGAAACATGAGTGTTGATATCAAAATGTTTATAACATGTTTAAACTGATGTTCTTGAGTCTTTAAATAAAATCATTAAAACAAGCTTAAAGGGTCTATATGTAACTTTCAAAAATACTGCGTTTGCAGAGATACCTCATGGCCGGTAGGTGAACTGCACCGGTAACCTGTTGCTCGCTCTCCCTCGCGTGCTCCTCATACGTGCTTGTACGTACACAAACAAGCATCATCATCATCATCATCATCATCATCGGCCGTGAAAAACTGGATATTTATATTACAGAGGAGGTAAGTGGTCATACACATGTGAAAGTCTGTGAAGGAGTCTGTGTGTCTGTATTCATTCTCCATCCTACAAACGACAGTCTCTGCACGCACTGGCTGAGAGCAGGAGTGTGTGATGAGTTTGTCCGCCTTTGAGAGCTCTTAGGGTGGATAGAAGTGTGTGGAAGTCGGCCTCTGGCTGTGGAGGTGAAGACCGGAAGTGTGTGATGAGTTTGTACTGTTGATCTCTGTAAGCGGAGTGAGGAGGACATTGAGAATGTGCATAAAATGTCACTTCCTGGAGCTTTCACAGAAAATACGACCCGGGTAAAAAATGTATACGATTTTATATTTTTTTTATTTTTATACAAAAAACGATTTATTCATGTAAAAAGTTACCTTTTAAAGCCCCTTTAAGTTAATTATTTTGACTTGTTAAGAACCACTTTGATTTTTTAAATGTTTTTATTAAAGGTGATACCATTAGACATAGAGATGTTCATGTAAAAGAAACATGTTGGAGTCTCTGAGAGACATGAACAAGCTGAAGGAAGCACTGTCCAGTATGAACACAGAACCAAAAGCAACAAGTCCAGAGGGAGTTTGATTTCATTTTTTTTTTTTTAAATCATTACTCCGCTATTTTTTTTAGAAACAATATAATTGATATCTGCTATAATGTTTAAAATGTTGCATACAATACCTTTTAAAGTTACTCCTGTTGAAAGACACAAGGGTGTCTCAGGTAGTAACTTTGTTAAGCAGCAAATATTTTGATTTTTTCCTTTTATTTTTCCACAGATTTTGTAGGAGCATCGTAGATGTTGTGTGTCTGGTGAGCTGGAGATTCAGAGGGCCTCATAAAAAGTCTGCTTAAGGCTCAGGGAGCATATTTGGCTGCAGCTTGTAAACAAAAGATTTAAACAGAGCCCTCTCCTTTTGGGGCTCATCGTCCTCAGAAGTGCACACTCACTGCAGGATGTAGTGTGTACAGTTACTGCTTGTACTTACACTGTAAGCTACCGCACGCTAGCGCAAGCTAACTACCGGTGTTTGTTGGCACCTGCCTGTCCAACAGAAAGCAGGCCAACTCCGTGGGTAAAAGCTAACCCAATGCTCACCATCATTTTGGAACAAGCTTTATCCCCTTTTATGATTTGAATCACGTCCAAATCGCTGAATCGTGTCCACTCCTAAACTCACCTGAGCTGTCATTGGCTGGAGATAACACACCAGCGACCTACCCAGAAACATCATGAGTCAACCAAAACATCAAAATCTTCCCTACAGACACTACAGTCTCCACCACACGTGGATGAAGGCCCAGAAGTGATGATTGAGTGACATTATTTTGTATAAGTGTATATTCTAGTTTTTCCAGAAAAACCTCCTGACTCTGCCTTTAAGCTGGATGTACACTCCACACTCAACTAACGTTGAAACTGTTGATTTGCAGCTTCAGTCATGTCAGTGTTTGTCTGCCCCACAGGGATGTAAGGTTCATTGTAACGAATATATTGTCACATCTAAACTGACCAAAATATTGTTTCAGAGATGAAGTTTTAACTTCATGTGAGCAGTCAGTGGAAAGCTTTTATCTTAATGCAGTGTGTTTGTCTCTCAAGCCTTGTTGTCTTTAAAACAGACAAACAGCTGAGAGTAACTTCTGTTAATGGACAAAGAGCAACAAAAAAGTTCTGCAAAATATGACAAGGCAGGATGATCAGGTTATAACTAAAAACTACATTCTTAATGTACAGCTGGTGTAAAGAAACAACGGTGACATCTAGTGGTCAAATCATCAACTACAGCACAAGGCTTTAAAACACTTCACAATTATTTATGAGGGATGTAATCTCCAGTGGGAACTAACCTATGCTTGGATTTATGCAGAGCTGGTGCAACCCATTGCTGATTTGTTTTTTCTTTTTAAGATTATTTTTCAGCCTTTTTGTCTTTATTGGACAGGGAAAGCTGAGAAGAGATTGGAAATACAGGATGGAGAAGGGAGTGACGTTCAACAAATGGTAATGGTCAGGAGTCAAACAGGCTTTGAGGACTTTGTGACTTCAGTACGTGGGACTCCTGCTCTACCAACCGAGCTAAATCAGCGCCCCACCACAGCTGATTTTAATCAATGCTTTCATGTGCTGTTGGGGGACATTATAGCACTCTTAATCCAAAATTACCAACCCTGCCTTTAATTCGGAAAAACTGAAAGTTTTTTTCTAAATGAATGAGATATCTATCATTAATTCAGAAGAACCAGGAAGATTTTTATTTTCTCAAGTGAAAGCCATATCTTCTTTATTTTTTTCCCCTCAAAACACACACAAGTTGATTATTAAAATTGAATGCATGTATTATAACTTGATGAATTAGGTGGTGTGTAACTCATTACTATGACCACTGAATGGAAGTGAACGTCCCATTAAGTGCTAAAGAGAGTGAAGACAGAGGAACAGAGGGTATTATGGTTTAAAAACTACATATTTCATATAAAATCTATTAAATAATCTTTAATATAAACATTTTTTTAAATCAAAGTTCTTAACAATTCAAAATAACTAAATTAAGCTTGTTTTAATGATTTTATTTAAAGACTCAAGAACATCAGTTATATGAAACATTTTGATATCAACACTCATGTTTCCTGATTTGAACAGATTACTGATATGTGCAGCTGGATTATAAATCAGTTTAGTATACAGCACTTAAAAACAGCAGAGCTGTACAAAATAATAGTTAAGCTCCATGCATTATAAACCTTTATACAAAAATAACATTATCACTATGAAGACGATCAATAGGCATCTTTCAATGTGATCTAATGCTAAAAGTTATTCAGTAATACAGACATTTAAAAACAAACTGTTTTAAATGGGATTGGACGTCAGAAGAAAATGAAAAAACATGAAGCACATTCTCTAAAATGTGCAGCTAAAAGTCAAAAGTTGATTCATATAAACAACATTTGAGGATGAGATGAATCACATAGATCAATAATGTGAGAAGCATTGTGCTGCAGCTAGACTTACTCAGTCTGCATTTATCTTTTTCTAGCTGGTTATTTCTAACTTCTACATTTTCACTGTAGTCAGTTCTTCACATTAATGTTTTCATTTACAAACTAATTTAATTTGTTTTTTCTCTTTTTAACATCTTATTTTCAATGTGATTTCAATTAATAAATCAAAATGTACACATTATTTTGACAGGACAAATAAGTACTGAATGCTATTTCTTTAACAATATCACCCTGTGGTTTTCAAGTGGACCCTAGTAAATACTTTCTCTGCATCATCAGCGAGCATGTCGAGGATCATGTTAAGACTTCTGTAGGTAAAGGTAAAAGAGAGGCCCACTGCTGCTGGGATTCCAAGTAGTGGAATTAATCTGAACCCCTCCTCTGCTGCCAGTAATACAGCTAAACTGCTGAATTGAGCCAACAACCTCATTACAAGTTCAGGAGTTACTTTTACTGCTATCAGAGTTGACTTGATGACTTTCTTCAATTCCTCATAAGGAACACCTGAGTAGTTTGCCATTCTCTTCAGTGATGGGATGTCAAGACCAAACCCCAAAACATATTTTGTGACAACACCGACCAGCAAGGCTATATCAACAGCCATAGAAAGCCCCGGAACTGGCACACCTGCTACAGCTGCAGATAGAGTAGCCCAGTATTTGACCTTTGCTTGGAAAGCCTTTTTCTTTTCTTTGATCATGTCCACACTGATATTGGGCATGGCAAGCAGAAAGGCATCTTTCTTGAGTTCAGGAAGTTCTTCCTTCAAGGTCTCCACTAACAGAGGGAAATCATACAGTGTCAGGTGAAAGCTGGACACCAAGAAGACCTGAGGAGACTGGAGACATATATCCTGAAGACCTGTGTCAGGAAAAATAAGTTATTAAGGGACAGTTCTTTCTTAGATCAGCAAATTAGATTTATTGCCAAGAAGAATTGTTACAACAAAGAAATAATCTACCAAACAAATGTACCTTACTTTTTGTGGGATGTTTATATATATACAGTAAATATCGATAGAGATAAAATAATACTCAAAGTTAATGACAGCATTAATATCAAAAGAACATTCTAAGCACTGAGGTAAATCAGTTTATTATTTAATTATTTCTTAAAGGATATATCACCTACCCTGGATGCAGTTGTTCCTGATTTGTATCAGGGTCCTTTCTTCATTGAACTCTCTCTGACTTCTTTCCTCATTACGTATGTTATCATGAATCTTTGAGCGAACAAAGTAGAACTTCTTCTTCATCTTTTGAATCTCCTTAGCCAGCTTCACATCATTTTCTCTGAAGCGATCAGCTGAGATGATGATGAAGAAGTCAAACTTTTCAAATCCAACCATCTTCAGGTACTTAGCAGCAGGATAATTGTTGGTGCCGATACCAGGAAGATCCCAGAATGTCACATTGGGATAGTTTGGATGAGGGTACGGTGTGACCTCCATGGTGGTTTCTACACAACCAGTAGGAGCAGCTTTCTCATCCTTGTTGTCTATACCTCTAATGGCATTAACAAAGGTGGATTTACCAGAGCCAGACTCTCCTGTGACAGCAATATTTAGAGGAACATTTTGCTCCTTGTCCAAATACTCCTGGATCTTTGCACGAGCTAAGTCTTGATCATTTCTATCCAGAGTTTCTTTAATTTCTGTATGTATGTGTTTACTGCCAGAAAGATTCCCCATGGTGCTTCTTGAAAACTGGAATAAAAGAGATGTTATAAAGTCACTATAATCCTCTGACAAATAAAAGTGAATGTAAGACTACAATAATAAACATCATGCACAAAGAAAGTATGATGGAAGAAAACACTTAGTATGTCAAGTACAGCAACACATGAAGCTTTTCTCGCTTTTCTAGCTTTTCTCTTGATCTTCCCTGCAGGCTGGAGTTGATTTAAGACAACTGTTATCACACTGCTAAGTACAGCACTGACCAAAAAGACTTTACAATCTGTTAATGAATATAACATCAAACACACAAATGATCTTCAAATATGAATGTTTGTCCCCAGCTCACACCAAATACATCTCACAATGAGCAAAGTGCTGTGTTTATTGATTAATCTGTTTATTTGTCAGGGACATTACATGTAAGCATTGTTAAATCTAATTAAAGTGCAACAGATGTAATGTATCTAGGACTTGTAGACATGGCTAATTTGCAGTCCTTGTTCCGGGTTAGGCTTTGAAGAAATAACACAGGTGATAAACCAACGCAGTAAAATAGACATACAAACTGACATTTGCTGCAGATAAAGATGCATAAAAACAAACAGTAAAGCAGACATACACACGCAGATTGAAAATAATTACTAACTAAACACATATTTTATGCTATACTCACCAGATCAAAAGATCACTGTACGAGTTGTTATCTTTAAGAAATGCAGACGCGAAGAAGCATAGAAACAGGAGAAAAGTTTATCAGTCTTGGTCAGCAACCAATCAAAAGTCCTTCTGTTATTTCAGGACCACCCATTAGTTATTTTTAAAGCAGCTGACTTTTAAGAAACATGCTGATTTACAGGAACAGTAGAAGCTGCATGCTCTCATGCCTTCTGCTTTATCTGTTCAAAAACTAGTGTTTTTTTGGGAGCCCTTATTGTGTGATATCTTCAGCTTTCAACAGCACTAATAATGGTGAATAATATCAGAAGCATGGGGATGTTTCAGCAGCTTTGAAAAAAAATGTGTTTTAGGTTTTTACTAATTTACAAATGTTATTTTTCATGGCAAAAGCTTTCACTTTGATTTCGTACTTCTTAGATCCTCTCCTCAGGTTTATTGAGAGGACAGGAAATCACTCCATGGGAAAGGGAACAAACACATAAGATTGTGGTGAGACGTCCTCGTCTCTGAGGTGTTGCATGCAGAAGTTTCTGTGACTGATGATTGCAGCAGCGGTCAACTGGCTGTTTTTTTGTGTCTGCAAAAGTTATAATACGTGCTCACTAAGGTGAAACGTTTTAATGACACCGCGCAAAAAAAGGAAAACTCACCACACCAACTCATGACAGTGGGCTACTTCTCAAAGTGTGGGAACGTTTAGTGAGCTGTTTCTCACCTAGGTTTGAATGTTTTAGTGTGTGTGTGTGTGTGTGTTGTAATTATGTTTATGTAGTAGTTTTTCTGTAGCTTTGTTCATGTGTGTGTGTCTGTATTTGTGTGTGTTCAGGTTTGTCTGGTTGTCCTCAGCTTCTAACAGGCTGTGATACATTGTGCAGCTCTAATCTCACATTTTGGCTTTATTCCCAGCAGATACAAGAGAGTTTGTGTGTTGTGTGTTCAAATTCAGGATGTACGTGTGTAATTTTCACTTTAATAAAGTGCTTAAAAAAATAGAATGTACCTGAAATCAGGGCGGCAGTAGCTCAGTGTGTAGGGACTTGGGTTGGGAATTAGAAGGTCGTCAGTTTCCGGAACAAGTTTGGAAATTGGTTTGGTAGCTGGAGAGGTACCAGTCCACTTCCTGAGAACTGTTGAGGTGCCCTTGAGCAAGGCACCGAACCCCAAAACTGCTCTGAAGCGCTCGCTGTGGGCAGCCCCCTCACTCTGAGACCTCTCCATTAGTGCATGTTCATATGATCCTGTTTGTGCATGTTTGTGTATTTCAGCAAAGGACTGTGATGTCACAGAATCCTAGAACACACACGTCTAGAAACACATAGCTAACACAGCCACAGAGACAAACAGGAGCAAAACAAACCTCATCCCAGTTCAAAGTCTATTATTTTGTCAGGTGCGATTGAGTTTTATAGAATAACAAACACAATGGCAAACAGACAACCGGAGCAGGAATTTCTCTCTATCCAAAAGAAGAGAGCCATGATTTTGCTATCCCTGGTGATAAAAAGATGTGAGATTAAGAAGTTTCACAAAGCTATAGAAGCAAAGGAGCAGGATGTATCACTGCTTGAGCGGCGGCTTGATCGTATTAAAAAAGGTCACAGGGAGTCACTCAACAGAGCTGAGGAAAGACTTGCAAAAGCCAACTTGGACTTTGATAGAGCGCACAATTCAAAAGAGGATTTAAATGCGATAAGTGAGGACTTACATGACAAAATAGTGACCATTAACAATGAATTGGAACAGACTGAAGAAATCATGCGTAAATACGATAAGTATAAAAAAATTGTCATCGACTTCTTGCCTCAGTCCAAGGCTATGTGCAGCCTTGGTGGGGAGATGCCTGGACAGTCCACGGCCCAAAACAAAAATTCTGAACTGGATGGTGACAGCTCGGAACTTGAGCAGAAATGAAAGAAAACGCTATCTGATCCCAAGCAGATTGTGGATCAGAGCCAGCAGCTGGTCAAGCTACACCTAGTCCTGTGTCAGAGCGTCACCAGAAACAACGAAATGCTGAAGGAGTTTTGTCTGCAAACAGAGAAAACTGTAAATGCATTAAATGTGGAAGAAGAGAAGCTAAACTCTGAGCTAAATGAAGTAAAGGATCAAATCAAGAGATACAAAGAAAGAGGTGCCCAACTCAAACGCAAGGTTCAGCTCCATGATTCAATACCTAAAGATGACCAGGATCTCTTGCTGGAAGCTCTGGGTTTGAGGGTGACTGATGTGTATCGCACCATAGTAGATACTCAGTTTAACACTCTCGACACTTTGGAGAAAATGACCAGTATAGAGCGCCGTATGTTTAGACTGTTTGATCAGCTTGACAAAATTCCTGAAGAAGTCTTGGCAGAAATGAGAAAGAAGCATTACATAGAGATGATGATGAGGCTGCGTGCAGAGGAGTTTAGGTTGAAACTTGAGAAACTGAAAGAAAGGGAAGAGAAGTGTATGCAAAGATCTACTGCTAATAACAAGCCGGTAAAAAGTGTAAAAAGCTCATGTTCAGATCACGCATCAGCATAGAGAAGCAAGAAGAAGAGAAGAAAGATGATTTGCAGGAGGAATATGACCCCTTTCTATCATTGGACGAGGAGACTAAAATATTTAACAAATGGGATGACAGGTGGAGGCTGAGAAGTCCTACATCCATTTCCTGTAGAGACAATTTCAGGGCTGGAGAAACTTCAGCCAAGTGTTCTCCTGCTAGTGCAGAGTTGTCTCAGCATCAAGCACAAAATGGTACAGAGAAAACTTTGCATAACTCTGGCACTGCTCACATTGAAGAGCTAGGTGAGGTACATCTAAAGCAGAACCACTGTCTCTCAATTTCTGACACCCAAGAGTCTGGGTCAATATATGACACTGAAGATATACAGAGCACCACAAAGTGTTTAAAACAGAACAAGACGGCACCATCTAACAGAGCCAACAAATGTATCAATCCGCTGGTAAACCGTTTGCCATCTACTAACTCAAAGGACACATTCAAAGGACAGTCCTGCCCCCAGCTTGCCAAGAATTACAACTACCATTCAAAGGAGTCTCAAGAATCCTTGAGGAGATTGGCCACTGTGCAGACCAAGTACATTAAGCAAAACTTGGAGTTCAAAAGGCTGCTGACCAGAAAGACCTAAATGGTTAACAGACATCATTGTCCTGTCCCTTTCTTCTCTTTCTACTCAACCTTTCTGTTCCCCTTTTCTATTTCCTTTTTCAAGTCACCATGACGCATCAGCGGCTAGCGGCACATGAATGTCCTCCTTTGTGTTGATGAGATTGGATGTTCTGTGTGTGTTAGGGTTTACTCCAGGTGCTCTGGTTTCTCCAACAAAATCTCACATAAAAAAAAAACACTGAACAGAATCAATCAACACAAACAACAATGAATAATGAATGATAATAAACAGCATTAAAAATCTAAAATTGGGACGGCCATATCTGTATCAATGCAACATTATGTCGGAATTCGGTTTGGTGCGCTTTTGTTCCCACCAAAGTCCTCTGAGTGCAACTACTGAGATAAGATATAAGATATGTTTATTGTCACTGTACAAGTACAACAAAATATTGTTGGAGCAAGCCTGTAGATGCCTAATATCAGAAATATACAAATACTAAAACTACCTTAGAAATCAGTGATTTGACACATATGATAATTATGAAATTACTTTATTCATATCTCCGAGCACAAACAGCAAATTAACCATCACAAAACTTTGACAGGGAACAGGTTTATGTGTTATTTGTACGGAAGAGGAGTAGGGCCACGGAAAAATAATCTGCAACTATGTAAAGAGTAATGGGTATAGAACGGTCACCTCACTGTCATGTTTCCAGTTTGCACTAAAGAGGTCAAAGTAAAGTATAGCCTTCACTGTCTAAACATTTCACTTTATACTAGATTTGGAGGGGAATGCTGAAAGTAGTTACTGTTATATTTCCCACAGTCAAGTCAACCCCAAAATGTCAAATGCTCAGACATGTAGTGAAGTTATTTACAGCAACACGAAGCAGGTGAGAAGAGGTCATTTAGAGACACACACACACTCCTCTGTTCCCATTCATCTGTTTCTGCCAGCTTTAACAGGTCAAGTACCTAGACTTCATTCTTAATTTAATATTTTTCATAGTTCATTGAGGTGAACCAAAAAATAAAAAAAATAATTCAACATGTAATAAAAATAGAGGCTGCTCTCAGTTTGCTCCAAAAACAAAAGAGAAACACTGAAGCCTAACCTCTATTCTTGGCAGTTTGCACTTTCTGAAAGTGTTGTAAGATAGAAATTCATTTCAGAAACTTGTTGATTTGCAGCTTCAGTCATGTCAGTGTTTGTCTGCCCCACAGGGATGTAAGGTTCATTGTAACGAGTATATTGTCACATCTAAACTAACCAAAGTATTGTTGCAGAGATTAAGTTTTAACTTCATGTGAAAAGAAACAACATCTAGTGGTCAAATCATCAACTACAGCACAAGGCTTTAAAACACTTCACAATCATTTCTGAGGGATGTAATCTCCAGTGGGAACTAACCTATGCTTGGATTTATGCACAGCTGGTGCAACCCATTGCTGATTTGTTTTTCCTTTTTAAGATTATTTTTCAGTCTTTTTGTCTTTATTGGACAGGGAAAGCTGAGAAGAGACAGAGAATGAAATGACGTGCACCAAATGGTCATGGTCAGGTGTCAAACAAGCATTGAGGCCTCAGTATGTGGGACTCCTGCTCTACCAACCGAGTTAAACCAGCGTCCCACCAGAGCTTTCATGTGTCATGGCATGCTCTCCACACAGTCTTTCACATTGCTGTTGGGGGACATTATACCACTCTTGACGCAAAAATTCAAGCAGCTCAGCTTTATTGAATGGCTTGTGAGGTGGTCACCAAATCCTCAATTAGTATAATGAGGTGTGCCTCCGTTGAATTTTGTCAGACACTACAAAAGGATGCCTTCTATGCATAGAGATGCTGATTTAAGAACTATTTGCAGTGGTCTCTTCATTTTTTCTATAACTTTATATATTTTCTTCTTTCTGATCACTACCTTCAGCTTGTAAAGCATACATCAAATCAAGTGAAAAAGGTGCACTTCTTCATGCCCATTACAAATCATTGATTCTCAGTTTTCTTCATGAGGATTTATTGTTGAG